TAGATTGAATATTAGGAAAAATTTCTTCACCGAAAGGGTTGTCAAGCATTGGAACAGGCTGCCCAGGGAAGTGGTGGAGTCACCATCCCTGGAGGTGTCTCTCACTCCTGTGTCCCAACCGGCAGGAATAAATACAAAATTGTGATGGTGACATCTGGTAAGCCACACTACATGCCACTAAACCACCAGCACATTGACACCATCACCATCAAAATAGACTGACTAGAACAAGCACCTCTCATTTTGCTTTGCAAAGGTGATTGTGAAGCTGCATCTTTGGTCCTGGAAGCCTCTGATACTTTAAGAAACCACACCAAAAAGGTAGTGGTAAAAAATTATGGGACCTGTCCTTTTACATGAACTATTACAGAGCCCAGGACAGCAATGGTCTCCCTGAGGTTTCAAGACATTCCTGTGAAGCATGCTGTGAGTGTTGGAGGTATATACAGTAGCCTATTTTGTTAAGCTACACATTAAAATCACCACTCAAGATACTGCAAGAAAGATATTTGGACATGTTTCCAAGATTGTCATGGACAAGTTGGAAATGCCAGCAAATCAGAAGAGCTCGGGTTTTGCTTATATTTAAAGAAACAGCCTTAAAAGAAAGTGAACCATGTCACACCCCCGAAAGGGAAGGCCCACCTCAGCCCTTTAAAAGAAAAAGGAAGAGGGTGCCTGACAACAGAATGGCAAAAGAAACAGAAATCCCAGAGAAAAAGGTCCCATCCTACCACTATGTACAGGTTTTATCTAGGATAGAGTTAATTTTCTTCATAGTAGCTTGTATGGTGCTGTGTTTTGGTTTTGTGATGAAAACAGAGTTAATAACACAGGATTTTGCTGAGCTGTGTTAATAAGACAGCTTTTGCTGAGCAGTACGTGCACAGTGTCAAGGCCTTTTCTGTTTCTCATGCTGCCCCACCAGTGAGCAGGCTGGGGCTGCACAAGGAAGTTGGGAGGGAACACAGCTGATCCCAAATGACCAAAGGGATATTCCAGACCGTATGATGTTGTGCTCAGCAATAGAAGCTGAGGGAAGAAGGAGGAAGCGTGGCATGTTTGGAGTTACGGTGTTTGTCTTCCCAAGTAACCATCACGTGTGATGAAGCCCTCCTTTCCTCAAAATGGCTAAACATCTACTTGCTGATGGGAAGTAGTGGATGAACTGAGGACTGAGACAACCTGGCTAGGGCATGCAGAGATGCAACCAGGAAGGCTG